GGTTTATTGAAGCAGCCACTTAAAGAACTGAGCTAAGGGGCAGGCTCCCTCTTGTCTTTTTTTTTTTTTTTTACTTAAACATTTTTATGATTCAGATGGAAGTTGTTCCTTGCCGGTGTTGGTTCCAGTCCTTCACTGAGGTCCTTCAGATTGTTCCTATCTGCTTTATAACATTCACTGTACTAATCTTTTAAGATGGGGTAGGGGATGATGACAAAGTTTAGCTATGTCCTCGAGAAAAGTCTTAGTAAAAAAATAAATGTTCTTTGGTTAAAAAAGTAAATAAAATGTCAAGAGAGCTCAGGACTACTGTGAGCAGGGTGTGCGTCGACCTGGCACCCCAGTGTGCATATGTCCGGCAGTGGAAGCCTGCCCCCTGGTGGCTGTAATCGGCTGCACCCTCCGTTCCCACATGAGGGCAGTTGACAGCTGCTGCTGTCCATATGGGAGATTTTCTGTAGGAGCCCTGTCCCGGGAGTGTGAATCTGCCTCCACGACTAGGAGGCGGCCGTAGATACTTTTTGTGCTGGGTTCGTGTCCATTGCATTGCAATTTGCTGCAGGTAAGGCTGTCAAGGAATTGTTGAAATTTGGTCCCCTTGGTTGAGCATGTGTGCTGACAGCTCACTGAGGTACAGATACTGTGGGGTGCACTACCCTTGTCATGGAGGCCTGGAGGGCTTCTCCTTTGTCATAAACAAATGTCACTGTGGGTAGAAGGGCTTGACTTTGTGGTGGAGGAGGAGAAGGGACCGTGGGCTCTTGCCAACAGGCGGCAGAAAGGGCTGTCAGCAAACAGGAGGATGTCGGCTGTGGGCAGAGAGACTGTTTCAGCCTCTGCAGGCTGGTAGTGAGAAATGGAAAGCTGTATTTCAGAGGGACTGAGGCTTGGGGCAGGTCCGTGAAGAAGGGCCCCAGGGAAGGTACAATAAGCATAGCTGGGAAGGAGGTCAAGGTGTGTCTAGTGCCGTGGGGAAGAACAGAGGGAGAGGTGATGGGAAGGGTGCTAAACTGCCCCGGCTTTCCAGGCTTTGCCCATTCTTGAGAGCAAATGGAGATATAGGCACATCTGGGCCTAGGGGCACTGGCTTCCCACTGCCCTCTGTCCCCCGGGTGGCTCTCAGCACTTCTACCCCCAACTTGCTAAGGTCAGGGGCTATTCTAGGGACACAGCCAGACTGCAAGCAATTGTGTGTGTGTGAGGGTTCACTGCACCCCTGACCTGCTCAGGGGCCTCAGGTTCCAGTGTGTCTTTCACTGCTGAGTGGCAGGGAGCTGAGGGGTGAGGCTCCCCAGTTCTCCTCTTGTCCTCCATAGCCTGGTGCCCCTCAAGTTGGAGGTCTTCTCACAGGGCTTCTTTCAGGCAAGGGACAGGAAAGCAATCTGCATGTCAGCATCTCGGATGGAAGCCCAAAGAGCTCACCGGCCCAAAGGCTCTGTGCTGTCTGGACCTGGCCAGGGGCTCATCTGTCGTATTACCCCTGCCCCAGGGCTATGCAAGACCATGGTTCACTGTAAAGGACGTCTCTGAGGAGGATAAAATGGGGTGCTTTTTTTAGGTTTTGGAACTTAAAAAAATATTTTTTTGTTAGTACATATGTGTCACACAGCATTCCTCATAGGGAATTTGTGCCTACTCAACAGTACACCTTAATTCTTTTTTTTTTTCCTGTTCCCAGCCCCTCCCTTTATCTCTTGTCCTCCTCATGTAAAAAAGCTTTGTCTCCCTTTTTCCTTCCACTTTCCCTCCTTCCCTTCCCCATCCTGCTCACTAGTTTCCCTGCCCAAGTGAACATGTAAAGAGGGGTACCTCTGAAGATGCCCACAAATGTCATCACAGCTCATTTTGAATTAAAATATATTGGGGGCAAACCTGAATCCTTACACTTGGAGTAATTTAGGTACATCACAAAGCCTGATGAATGATGGGGCAATTTGCCCCAAAGGGTCATGTGAAGCTCCGCTGTGTGTGGAAAGATTAGTGTGTTCCTTTACTGTTCTCAGTCTTACCCTTCACCTGTGCAATTTTTAGTTTCTCTCTCTGTCTCTGTCTCTGTCTGTCACTCTGTCTCTCTGTTTCTGTCTCTGTCTCTCTCTGCCTGCCTGTCTCTCTCTCTCTCTCTCTCTCTCTCTCTCTCTCTCTCTCTCTCTCAGTCAGGATTGAGCCCAGGGTCTTTGCACTGAGTTACATCCCCAGCCCCTTTAAATTTTTTTTCAATTTTTAAAATTTCGAGGCTGGGTCTGCTGCTGCTAAATTGGCAGGCTGGGCATCTTAGTTACTTTCTTGTCTCTGAGACATAATACCCAGCTCCCAAAGTTCAGAGGATGGAAGGCTCATTGTGGCTCACAGTTGACACTTGATCTTAGCCAAAAGGCCAAGAAGTAGTGGCTCCCAGTTTTTAGAAGTTTCAGTCCATAGTCGGCTGGCTCTAAGGCAAGGTGGCCTGGCAGAGGGGAATGGCTGAGGGTATGGCAGATGGCAGGCAGGCAGGCAGGTAGGTAGGCAGGGAGAGAGAGAGAGAGAGAGAGAGAGAGAGAGAGAGAGAGAGAGAGAGAGAGAGAACCAGAGGAGGGAAAAAGACCGTCCCAGGCCATGGCCCAACTGCCCACTTCCCACTTCCGCCAACCAGGCTTCACCTGCCTGCATCACGTTTAGCTGCAAACTCACCAGTGGACCAGCCAGTGAAAAATACAGTCGCCTCCCATGCACTCGTGGTGCATGAGGCTTTGGGGGGACATCTAGATAGAAACCACAGTGCAGGGCTTATTCCTCTCTCTTGAATCATGGGAAATATTTCTATGGATCTAGCCAAGGAAAAGAAAGTATCGGCGAGCTGTTCATTGTTTTAGGGAGCAGTTATCCTGGGTGCACACATTGGTGAGGTGTCTTTCCACTTAACCTATTGCAGCCACTTATAAGCCTAAAAAGATGTTAAGGAAAAAGCCATCAAAAGCAAAGTCAGGGGCTAGTGAGATGGCTCAGTGGTCTAAAGCATCTACTTAGAACAAGCTAAGCTAAGCAAAGCAGAGACCACGGTTCAATCCCCCAGCACCACATGCCAGCCAGCCCCACCCCCTGGTGGGCTGAGCTGGCCACACACACATACACACACACACACACACACACACACACACACACACACACACACTAAAATAAATAATAAATAAAAAGCAAAGTCATAGGGCCAGCCAAATAACTCAGCAGATTAAAGCGCCTGCAAGCAGGTGCAGGGGCTGGGGGTTCGATCCCTGGCCCCACCCCTGGAGCACACTGAGCCAACAATTGAGACTGGGTGTGGTGGCGTGCACCTACAGTCCCAGCTCTTGGGAGGCTGTAAATAGGCAGATCACTACAAGTCCGAGTCCGATCTAGTAGTGAGACCCTGAACACCCTGCAGACCCTTCCCTAAAAAAAAGCAAAAAAAGCAAAGTCATGCCAAGGATGGGTGCCACTGAAAGAGCAATCTCAGGTACATTGCTGTGCTAGAAAGTGCTGGCTCTGGTTCCAGACAAGACCTTCCTTGGGTCATTAGCGACTTTTTGGGACTTGGAGACAATAGAAAGAAAAGGCAGGAGAATGCATTTCTGCATTCACAGCCTCCATTTCTGAGTTTCCAGGGAACTGCTGACCACCCTTCTGGCCCTCAGGGAGCTCCTTACAGAGCCTTCTCTCATTATAATCTTTTACTGTGCTTCAGTCTGGGCATTGGCCATGAAGATGGTGGAATGACTTGGGAGCTCTGTTGCCCCAGCTAGGCGTCTGCTGAAGAGTTTGAGCTAGCCTGGCCACAGTTTCCTGTGCAGCAATAGGAAGTGAGGAAAGGGCTGTGCTTTGTAGTTGTGCTTTCTTTTTTCATTAAGGAAAAGAAAAATCATTCCTGGTGACCTGGGCTGAAAGACCTAGGTCTTCAGGAGCAACTCTTTCTGGGTCAGCTGCCAGGAGGAGCCAAGGTTTCCAGGTGGGAGGTCTTACCATTCAGTGGATGTGACTCTTCTACCAGCATCTATCCGGACCTCATCACCAACGCATTCACATTCTTTCTGGTCGTGAAAGAATTTGGCCGACCTGACTAAGCTGACTTGGGGGTGTTGTTCAGGAAGAAAGATGGATATAATTTCATCTTTTTTCCTCCTTGCTGGGTACAGGAATTAATTAGAGTTCCCAGAAAATTATTCCCCTTTTCTTGAAATCATAGGAAAGTTTCCACCCAAGTCCTCCGTGAACAGAGGCCATTGGACCGCACTAGTGCAGGATCGCAGAACCTGGGGATGGACAGTGCCTCCTTTGGGTTCTCTGCAAGGCATCAGTCAGCCTGGGCTGCAGGCCTCTGTTTCTTCATCCATAAGACAAGAATTATAGATGTTCATTTAGTCTCTTCAGAAAATTCTAAGGAATTATCTGAAGACCGCCTTTTAATGTTCTGAGTCACTCAAGTGGAAGGCAATGGCTATGAGGGAATTTTTTTTTTAATTTTTATTTATTTGTTTATTTATTTAATTTATTTTGTGTGTGTGGCCAGCTCAGCCCACCAGGGGGCGGGGCGGGCTGGCATGTGGTGCTGGGGGATTGAACCGCGGTCCCTGTGCTTTGCTTAGCTTAGCTTGTTCTAAGTAGGTGCTTTAGACCACTGAGCCGTCTCACCAGCCCCATGAGGGAATTTTTGAAAAGAAATATGCTTCACATGAATGGTGCCCTCCTGGGTTATTTAGTTAAGATGCAGAATGATCTGTAGGTCTAGGCCAACTGTCTTTCAGAAAAGAGCTGCTGTTCCTTTCCACCAGTGGCAACTCTTGTGCGGGACAATGATTCCTCCTGGCCCCCTCTGAGGTTTCGACAGTGTTTGAAGTCTACCCTAAATGACTCATTTTGATGGAATGATCATTTTCATCCCACATAACATGTTTATGCAATGTTTTATGGATGAACACCTCCAGATAAAAATCACTGCACTCGTGCGTAGTTCCTCATCAATTTACCCATGTCTTTTTTTTTCCCGGCAGACAAAACTGTGTGGAGTTTTACCCCATATTCTTGATCACGCTGTGGATGGCTGGATTATATTTCAACGAAGGTAAGCACTGAGTACACAGTTCCACTAGTGACTGTGGTGCTTAAAAAACAGTTAAGGAGCAGATAAATGACAGCACAGCTACTGGTCCTGGCACCTATTTTGAACAAAATGAACAAATGTCTTCATACATTTCTGTTACAGATATACCATCCTGGGCTTCACTGTGAATTGATTCAATAATAAAAAGCTTAGAATTATATGCTGGACACTTGATAGAAATTGCATGAACTTAGTATTCAAATATAATAATAATCTAATTCTAATTTAACTGAAGAAACAGAACACAAAATTAACAATACAACTTAATAATTATAGTTAATATTTGTTGAGCATTTACTATGTATCAGGTGCTGTTCTTAAGTTTTACATCTCATATGTAATATTTATAAAATTTAAACCCTTTATATGGAATGAAATCTATAATTAATTTGTACTTCACAAACAAAAACTCAGAGATAGAGGTTAAGTAATTTGTTCAACTTGACATTCACCAATGCAAGTAAAAGTTCCTTTCAAATACACACTGTGAGGGCTGGCCTGATAGCTCAGCGGACTAAAGAGCCTGTTTAGGCAGACGTGGGGGCCGGGGGTTCAATCCCCAGGTCTACCATGCTGGCCCTGCCCCTGGGGTGCGCTGAGATGGCAATTGAGACTGGGCGTGATGGCCCATGCCTGTAATTCTAGCACTTGGGAGGCTGTAAACAGGTGGATCACTATAAGTCCTGTCTATGTAGTGAGATCTTGAAGCCCCTGTACTAAATCCAAAAAGCAAATACAAATACACACTGTGGATATTTGTTCCCATGTGCCATTCCCAAGGGGTCTGCAAAGATATGGTGCCACTATCCAGAGCAATTCTACAATATCCCTTTTCACTGGTCTGAGGTGTCCTTGGTAATCTGAGGGCCTTATCCTCACTCTGCCTATTCACTTCACAGGGAGTCAGACTGGCATCAGCTGCCTTAGTTGGGAAAATTCAGTTCTCTTTGATTTCTGGTAACTTTCATGGCCTCATTTGGATCTGCACTTGATTGCTGAGATTTAAAATAAGCCAACATCCAGCTGCTGCTAAGGAAATATCATCAATCTCTTTCTTGTAATTTTTACTGCCACTTAAAGAATTTAAGATGAAATGACCTTTAGAGAAAGACCTTTTAACTTTATTTCAACTCACACTTTTGTTCCTTAATTCCATGGATGAAAGTGGCTGTTCTTTGTCACATAAGAGCATATTAACACTGAATAAGAAAAGTGCAGGGCCCGGGAGGTGGCTCAGTGGAATAAGCGCTTCCCTGGCAAGCGAAATAATGGCCTGAGTTCAATCCCCGGTTCCGCAAAAAAAAAAAAAAAAGAAAAGTGCATTATGATAGTGGAATCCCATCTCTGCCGTTTGGCCCTTTGGGTTTCCGCAGGACAGGCTAACCAGGAAAGGATTTCTTGGGTATCTTGTTGTAATTTTCCTTGTATTCTTTCTCTTGCAAAGCTAGTTGCCTGTTAGCTTCCTTTAGCATCCTCACTGGCTTTATGGGAGGAATTAAGTAGCTGAGGACAGTAATCCCCAAATCTGCGAGCATGCTCATAATTTCTGAACTTCCTCAGATGCTAGGTGGCTCTGCCACTTTAGTGCCCTCCAGGACCATGCCTATATTGGGCAGCTTTCTGTTACTGCGACAAATAGCTGAGAAAAACAACTTCAAGGGGGAAAGGTTTATGTTGGCTCATGGTTCAGTCCATGGTGAGCTGGGTCCATTGCCTTTAGGCCTGTGGTGAGGCAGGAACATCATGGTGGAGAGGGTGTGGCCAAGAACAGATGCTCACCTCATGGCAGCTGGTAAGCAGAGAGAGCTGCAGAGAGGAGAGCCCTCTGACAGCACAGTCCTGGTGACCTGCTTCTTTCAGCCCTTTCATGGCCCATTTGGCTGTCAACCAATAATGGGCCAATCCACGGGTGGTGCTAGCACCTTCACCTCTCGAGGCATCTCAGTCCAGTCACATTCACAGCTGAGATTAACATCATGGCCTCAAGAAGTCTTCCCTGAGCCTTCTCTAAAGCCTCCTTCAGCTGCCCTCTGCCTCACCCTCTTTATTTCCTTCATAGCCCTTTGAAGTCTAGAATTTTCTTCTCTTTTTTTCCCCCATTTTTACTGTCTCTGACAGTAGAACATATACTCTACAAAAGCAGGCGCTTATATATTTGCTGTTTTAACTCAATCTTTGTTTATTTATTTGTTTTTGGCAGTACTGGAGATCAAACTCGAGACCTTGTGCTTGCCAGGCAGGTGCTTGTGCTGCTGAGCTATCTCCCCAGGCCTAACTCAATCTTTATAGTAAAGATTGTTATATAGTACAAATTAAAAAATCTTTCTGGCCAAATAAAATAAATGAATTTAATTTTAATTGGCACATCATAGTCTCATACATAGAGTTTAAAGATTTATAAAGAGGCTGTGGTAGTTTGCATTTGTGAAGAGCTGAGGAAGAGGCTGATATTTTCACTGATAAGGATGGCAGAACATTATATTACAGCTTATACTTTTTTCTTTCTGAGGTGATATTTGCACACAGTAAGTCACAGATCACAAGTGTTTGAGAAGTTTTGGGAAGTATAGATACCTGCTGGTCTCTTGAGTTCAAGTCTTAGTAAGACGTAAAACATGGCTGCCCCTGGTGTTTCTTTCTGTCACTCCCAGTCATCCCATTCTTGCTTCCTTCCAGATTCAAATGCTGTTCTGAGTTTTGGTCACTTAGCTTTGCTTATTCTAGGACATCCCATAGGTGGAGCTGTACAGTGTACATCCAGGTGTAATGCTTCACTCACTCCGCCAAGTGTTACCGAGACTCAGTGTTGCTGTATCTGGTTCTTTTCATCGCTGACTAGCATTCCGCTGAATGCATCTGTCACAGCTTAGTTATTAATTCTCATGATAAGGCTTCTGGACCAAAAAATATTCCTCATATTTGGCTGACTGTGAATAAAGTTGTAATGAACACTTTTGTACTCAGGAGCTCTTTTTATGGACATGGTTTCATTTCTCTTGGGCAACTTCAGTAAGTCCCTGGTTTAAGAACAAGCTCTGTTCCAGGAGAATGGTTTGTAAGTCAGATTCATTTATAAGCTGACAAAGTGAACCTTATACTTTTGAAAGTTCACAACTGAAATATTTGTAAGTTGGGGATTTACTGACCAATAGGGATGGAATTGTTGAGTAAAATAAGATGGTTGGTTTGCAAGAAATTACCAGAATTTTTCTCAAAGTGGTGATTCTGTTTTGGTGGGTAAGCTTAGCTGTGCCAACTCGCTTGGCCTAGGAGACTAATAAGCATGCTTAGGGGCATGCCATGGAAGTCTGACCTGGATCCATCTTGGTTTCCGGGCCTCTTCCTGTCTGGCTCTGTTCCCCTGCTCTGCTTCCCAGCCACTCTGAGCAAGCCATCTGTGCCTCACCATGCTCTTATGCCTTGTCATTCCTGCCTTAGGGTGAATTTCCCAGGGACTGAATCCCCTGAAACCGTGAGGCTGAATTAAACCTCTTCTCAAGTTGCAAGTGTTGGGTTTGTGTCTCAGTTACATGAAAGCTGATTAATGCAACTATTTTACATTCCTACCAGTGACCTACGAGGATTTCAGTTGCTTTACTGCTGGTCTTTTAAAATTTTAGCTATTCTAGTGGGTATGTAGAGTATTAGTGTTTTTCCTTTTTCTTTTTGAGACGGGGTCTTGCTATGCAGCTCAGGCTGGCCTTGAGCTTACTTTGTAGCCCAGGCTGGTCTCAAACTCGCAAAAAGCCTCCTGTCTCAGCATCCTGAGTGCTGGGATTACAGGCACACACATTGTCTCAGTCACTCTTCTCTTGTTGCCGGGACAAATACCTGACACCCAAAATGAAGGAAGGAAACATTTATTTGGCTCACAATTTGTGGAGGTTTCAGGCCATACTCAGCTGGCTCCAAGGCAGACTGGCACATGGCACAGAACAGCCATTCATGGAGGTGGCAAACAGCAAGAGCAAAAGGAGTGGCAGCAGCCCTGGTAGCTAGCTAGCCTCTCTCCCCTCCTCACACTGTAATGCAGTGTGTCTGCCCCACGGCACTCACGCCCAAATCCCATCATTGGATCAGTAATCAGTCACAGACTCCAGAAGCTGCCCATGACTGCATGAGGGTTTGCGGGGACAACTAGACACAAACCACAACCACCACTATGCCTGGCTAGAGTAGTAGTTTTAAGTGACACTTTGCTAATGTTGAAACTCATGGAAACACTTTTTATGTGCTTATTGTCACATCCGTGCATTTTCTTTCTTCAGTGAGTTGTCTAGTCCAGTATTTTGTCCATATGAAAAACTAAGTTTTAAAAAATTGAGTTGTAAGCGTTCTCCATACATTTTGGATATTTATATATATATTTGTATTTAAGACAGGGTCTACAGGGTCTCACTACACAGATCTGACTCATAGTGATTCTCCTGTTTTCAGCCTCTGAAGCACTGGGATTACAGGTGCGTGCCACCATGCCCAGTCTCAATCACTGTCTCAGCGTACCCCAGTGGTGGGGCCGGTACGGTAGACCAGGGATCAAACCCTCAGTCCCTGTGTCTGCCTTAGTAGGCATTTTAATCTGCTGAGCTATCTGGCCATCTCTTGGGTACAAGTATCTTGTCAAATACATATTTTATAAATATTTTCTGCTTCTTAACACTGTATTTTGAAAGACTGCTCTCATATTCCATACTTTTTTCTTTTTCTTCCCATTCTGCAGTTTTGGCTACTTGTTTGGGTCTGGTGTACCTATATAGCCGCCAAAAGTACTTCTCGGGATATTCACAAGCTGCTGAAAAAAGGTAGGGGAAACCTAGTCATGGGATTTATGCAGGATGTGGCAGGGGAAGTCTGGTGTGGTTTCTGTTCCTCAGAAGTATTGAGAAAAGCAGTGAGGGCTGTGGCGGCAGTAGTGACCCACATTGCCTGAGGCCATGTCTTGCCAGGCCACATAATCATACATGAGATGGGGGAATCGTGGGCATAAGACTAAACTGTGCTGGGTGTGGTGGTAGATGCCTGTCATCCCAGCACTGTGGGAGGCTGTGGCAGAAGGACTGCGGGTTCAAGTCCAGTCTGAGCAACTTAGCCACTTAGCAAGACCCTGCCTCAAGAAATTAAAAAAGAACTGGGGAGGTAGCTCAGTGAGCAGGCCCTGGGTTCAGTCCAAACAAAACAACAGTAACAACCCAAAAACCTGCCCACTCAATCCCAGGAATAATTTTGCAGTGTCCCTAGAAAGTTAGCAGGAAAAGAATTTTGCTCAGCTGCGATAGTCCTCTGAAGGGTCAAAGAAGCCAGCTGACCTCTCCAGCTAGGCAACCCCTTTGATTTATGTGATGAACCCCAAATTTCAAATGGCAAAAGCATGGGCGTCCTGCTTTGTGTCAACTGTGCGAGGTCTCCCAGCTTCCTTATTATACACAGCCTGGGTCGTCACTCCTGTCCCTCATGTCTACCCCGCAGGTTGGGTGGTTTCCAGTTGAGCTTGTGCACTTTGGCCTTGTTGACAGGCCTCAGTGCCCTGGGGATCGCAAACAGCTTCCTGAGTGAATACCTGGGCCTCCATGTTGCCAAGAGACTGAAGCGATACTTCTAACTTTTCCCTTCACTGTCATGTGTGCCCACGCTATTTCCACTCTGAAGCTAACATCATGTTGCTTGTTAAATAAATTTTTAAAAAGCTTCTCGTTTTGTTTTTCTTGTGATGGCTTTGTGGAAGGGAGCACATTTTCTGTTTGCTTAAGAGCTGGGTCACTGGGGTGGAGTGTGCACATGACCAGGAGGACTGGGTTGAGCTCCAGGTCTAGAAATACGTGTTGGTGTGAGGATTGCTCATGTGGGGACAAAGCAGCCTGACCCACATGCCGGGCTTTCTGTGGATCACCGTCACAGCCTGCCTCTGTGACCACTTTTGTCTCAATGGGAGGTTCCAGACAGATGCTGGGAAGGTAGCCAAGCCCTACCGCACTGGTTGCCGAAATGCAACAGATGGCTGCAAGTGGGGGACGCCAGGCACACACATGAAGTAGCCAGGGAGAGTCACCAGCTAATGGCACAAAGCAGATCTGGCTGTGAAAATGTGCTTTATAAAGAACAAAGAAAAAAAAATCATCTCATTTTGAGGAGACTCAGGGAGCAGGGCTAAGCAAAGACCCTTGCCCCTGGGCAGAGAAGGAGGGTCCTGCTGAGTGCTGCAGAACCTGGACCGGACTCCAGAGCACACACATCTGCATCATACAGGCTGCAGACAGGAAACCAGCTGAGCTCCGGGGCCCTCCTGAGCCTGGGCACAGCCCTGTCCAGCACGACTCACTTGATTCTTCTCCATTTCCTTCATCTGCAAACTGGGAACAAGGCTGTGTCAGGGCTTCGAGGACCTTAGGGGAAATGTTAGGAACAGAGGCCTTTCTCAGTATTTCCAGAGAAAATCAGACAGCTCTGAGTCTGGTATGGCATCAAGAAGCTGTTTAGTGAGATGATCCTTTATCCCGGGGACAGAGGCAGTTACAAAGAGAAAGAAAAGAAAAGGGTGCTTCTAATTGCCAGTGTTTCCAGAGCAGTAGAAGAGGAAGACGCCGCAGCCCCATGGTTCCAAACAGCCCTGGTAGATGAAGAACACAGTGGTCTGGAAGGGCCCATTTGGATGCCGGTCTAGGATCCCCACACATTGGCTGCTGGACTCTGAGTAAGGCCCAGCATAGAGGCTGTGTGTGGCAACTGGTGGAGACTCTAGAGTCAGACCACGGTCCTGTCCTGTCACCTGCTGGTGATGCCGCCTCGGTACTTCACAGCTCTTGGCAGCTATTTTCTCTTAGTTGAAATGGGGCTGATCTGGGAAATGCTGTGACTACAGTCTTTCCACTCGATATTTCTACCTGTTACGATGGTGGCTTCAATGATAACAGTTTGTGTTATTCACTGGAGAGGGTGGAGGAAGACAGTGCATGTTTATGACCTCACAGCGTGATGACCGCAGAGTCCTGTCCTTTAGAAGTAGGAAAAACAAAAACTATTCCAAATGTTATACTTTAGGATTTTTAAAGCCCCTACAATGGTTTGGATAGAGAACATTTAGAAGCAGACAGTGATTGTACCTCATCAAAGCTGTGCCTAAAACATTGTGAAATAATATTTCCTTTGTCCTAATTGCTATGTCACCAGGCAACCTTGTGATTTTTTTTTTATTCCTATTAGATTTGGCTATAGGGAGCAAACATGCTGGCCCAAGAGCTGTGAGTTTCTGATTGATTTGACAATTGTACATATATTTTTTTGGAATATTAGTAAATTGACAAATTTGTGCTTAGAAATCAAATTCATTTCCTTTTCTTTTTTCTTTTTGGCGGAACCGGGGATTGAACTCAGGCCCTTGCGCTTGCCAAGGAAGCGCTTATTCCACTGAGCCATCGCCCCAGTCCTCAAATTCATTTCCTAACACAATGTCATGAAGTAAGGGACAGAGAAGTTTTCTCTGTTAATGGAGTCTGAAGAGGCATAAAAACCGAAGGGCAGCGTGGGATTCAACCTGGGTTAGAAAAACCAAGCTCTAGAGTGCATGTGTGAGACAACTGGAGCCGTCTGCATATCGAGCGAGATGTAGCTGTTGGGGAATTCGGGTTGACTGCATGAGATGTGATAATACAGCGGCAGCCAGGGAGGAGGGTGTCCAAGCTCTTCAAATCTGCAAAGCTGAGGTCTCGAGGGTGAAGTGGCCAGGTGCAAAAATGCTGAAACAGATATGTGTGTGAAGTGTTTGTGGGAAGCATGGGGGATATAATCCAGCTGGAAATGGTAGAGGTATTCCTTCTACTGTCCTGATGGCTTGACAACATGCACAGTAAAAAATTAAAAACTGGGGGGCCGGGGAGATGCCTCAGTAGGATAAGCGCTTGACTGGCAAACGCAAGGATCTGAGTTCAATCCCTGGTTCCACAATAAATAAAAAAATAAAAAAAATAAAAATAAAAATTAAAAACTGTAAGAGAAGTTAGAAGTTTAACTCAAGTTTTGGATAGCGCCTAAGTTTCTTGTGTGCCACCATGGAGGTTTGTCTGGGGGAGCCATCAGTACAGCTTTGGCTCTTACTGCTGGCCTCTCTCTAATGTTCTGGATGTGGGCAGGGACACTGGCCCTCGGGGTGTGGAAGCTTTGGCACTCTCCTCCTTGTTATGAAGTGAGACAGGGACCTGTAGTAGCGCATCCATTCAATGCCAGTATGGGACTCGCATGTCCTTAGAATGCAACAAAGAGGAGACTAGACAAGGTTGAACAGAAAACAATGCCAAGCAAATGAAGCTGGGTGTGGCGGTATGTGTTTGTAATCCCAGCTCTGGGAGGCTGAGGGAGGAGGATGGCAAGTTCCAGCCCAGCCTGGGCGACTAAGTGAAACACTCTCTCAAAATAAAAAATGAGGAAAGGACTGGGGACGTAGCTCAATGCAAAGGCCCTGGGATTAATCCCAACCAACAATAAAAAATACTGCTCACGTACTGGGAGTGGTAGTGCACGCCTGCAATGCCACGCTCAGGAGGTAGAGGCAGGGAGAGAGCTGCCAGGTCAAGGCTGGGCTGGGCTGCAATGTAATTTTAAGGCTAAACAGTGAGCATCTTGTTTCAATGCAAAACAAAACAAAACAACCTACTTCTTACACAAACAGCAAAAGAGGTATCCCTGTTCTCAGGTAGTTTTCCTCTCTACTTATTAGGGCTAGAAGTCAGGATTTGACTACTTTTTTTCTTTTGGTGGTACCAGGAATTGAACTCAAGACTTTGCAGTTGGCAGGCAAGCACTTACTCCACTGAGCCGTCTCTGCAGCCCTCAGGATTTGACTACTGAAGTCACTAGTAAGCACTAATATCAACTCATTCGCATCCACTCCCTTGTGTGACATAGTACTTACCATGTCTGAGATCACAGACATGAAATGACCTAAAGGAGAGTCATCCACTCATCCAGCACATTTTAACCAGCCAGGGTTAGGAGGAGCAAACTGCTGTTCTCAGTGCTTCCTGTTCTTAACCCTGTGCCATCCCTCCAACCTGCATCCATTCCTTTTCTACTACTCATGTTATCTAGTAGAGTCCTGAGCCCATGCCATAGGGACCAGAGCCCCTGTTACACTGCTTTCTACATTAAATTCTCTGCCAGACAGACTGGGCTTTCTGCTCACCATGGGCAGAGACAGCCTCTTCTATAGATTCATTTTAACTCTTGGTTGGTGTATACTGAAACTCAGCTTCATTTGGGATCCATTCTGATGACAACTTTATTCTGTGGTCAGCTTCTCAGCCCTGCGCTGGGTTCTTATGTGGCGGGTTAAAGAAGCAAGACCGAGCAGGGGAGCGAGCTGAGCAGGGTCCCAGCTTGGTCTGACCTTGTGGGAGTCTGCAGCACACATCCTGTTGGTCCTCACAAGTTCGCAGGGCTCTCACCGGCCTGTGCCACCGAAGGGCATAACTGCGAGTGCTTTGCACTCTGGGGGTGGCAATAGGCAAAGCCGGGCTGGGAGAGGCCGTGGCTCTGACCACACTTCTCCACGCTGGGAGAAGCACAGCACCGGGAGGCCGAGGGGTGCTGCCGGCCACGTCCTCACTGGGGCGAGCCCTCAGCGCTCCAGCCCGCCTGCACACACCGCACTTTCCCCCACTACAGCTTTTGTGCATCCATTTCCTGAATCTCTGAATGAGCCTATTGGAAACTGAGTCGCTATAGACCGAATCCACAACGGTTCCTGGAGTGGACTTGGCCACGCCTCTCGAGGCACCCAGCACATCCCGAAGTCTCAGTTTGGTTGAATTAAAAGGGTTGGGTGTGACTGCTCTCTGCTGTTACACATCTAAACAATGACATGAACGTGGTGAGCAAAGAACCACGGTTGGTCAGTTAAATCCTGGGAAGAATATATCTGCTCCATGAATTCTGGAGACTAGAATGAAGTATACTTTGGATTGAATCAGATAATGATCTTTTATTTTTTTTTTTCTTTAAAAGTGGTATGTCAACATCACTTCATTTCTACATTTCAGAGTCCTGTACATTTCTTAAAAGGAAAGAAGTAATGCTCAATGTACAAAGTTGAAACAGAAAACTAGAAAAATCTGAATAAAATGGCGCAAGTTGCCCTAGGTCATACAGTACAAATTAGTAATTAGATGTTGTCTGAAGTGCAATGCCACTGCTGTGATGATGAGTTAAGGAATGAAATAAAAATACTCTATTTTTAAACAAACAGTATATATATATTTATATGTATATTTTTTACAGATAGTAGACCCAGTGATATCTGCAGTATTGTAAAAACTTATGTACAAATAACTTTTCTTTTAGACATTACATATACATCAGCACCGTAGTAAAAACAAAACCACCTCATTAAAATCTACCTCTATGAGTTGGTCCCTGTACTGAGCACTTGGAGGCGGCTTTGGAAAGATACTGAAACCCCTCTCCCCGTCAGCCATCTCCAGTTTCTTACCATTGCTTATATATTTCTCTTAAATTTATTTCCTGGACCTTGCAGGAAAAGGTAATAATTCTGTGTTTTCTCCTTCACTTTTTGGTTTTTTTTTTTTTTTTCTGTTTCCCCGGTGGGATCCCTCCCCATTTACAGATTCACACTCACGCTACCACCACTCCTCCAAGAGGGCACACAGCCCACCAGCCTGGCATC